CAAAAATATTTTTGTCATTATTGGTAATTTCTGTATAGGGTGGCGCAACAAAGTTATATTTTTTATGGAACACCCAGTATATTATGCGCTTATTTGAAAGAGTTTTTAATTCTAAGAATATCCATATTGGGTTTTATGGGTCTATCATCATTTATGGGAAATTTTATGAAAAAATGTATCATTTTTGATAAATAGCAGCGGCTTTGCTAGAAAGAAAAAGTGAATAAAAACAATTACAACCATTTTTACTGAGTCTGGTCCTAAATTATTATGGTAGAAATTCAATCAATCTTTTGCAACTACCTACTGCAAAGTGTTGACATTCGAAAAATATCAAGTAACTTGATTTTTTCAAATGAAACACCCTGTAAGTTATTACTTTATCGTGTAGAGCTTTTAATAAGATAATCGATCGATTAGGAAATCTGTTGCTAAAAATTGTCGCACAATGCGACAAAAATGAATAGGAGCTCCATCATGCTGTAGCTATACAGGGTGCGCCAGAACTCGGGCCCCAGGGAAAAATGCCATATAAAGTAAGATACCAGGAACATGGAAAAAATGTTGCCTTCGAATGTAAGAAAAGCTTATCCAAGATAAAAAAAGGATCCGCACGAAATTCCCTTTTTTGTCTCTTGTGACAATCATTAAGTTGTAGTTTAATTGTTGAAGTTTAAGTCGTAATTTTAGTTTGACTTTACGTTAATTATTTAATTAATTAATTTCTGATTCATTTTTTTTATTATACCTGCATCATAATCCTAAATTAAAACACGCTGCAACGTGGGTAATTTGACCTTTATAGCACGCTGAAATTTTAAAGTTGCCTAGGTAACAAGAAATAGTGAAATGTCTGGACCAATTACAACGTGAAAAAATGACCTTAACAACAGAAACTAGTGACCGTCTCTACGAAAACGATTCACAAACAATCTTTGATAAGTTTATTGTGTTAATTCACATTTTTTCAATGTTTATAAAAGATCGTAAATGGGCAGGTATAATATAAAATAGCGTATAACACTGTTTATAAGCGCCTTTAAAACAATTACGACGTTAAAAGCACTCCGCTGACGCGTTGTGCTCTTAAGCCCGTCGTGCCTGTTTTAAAGGCTTGCTTATAAACTAGTATTATAATATAATATTAAGCATTATTTCAATAAAAAATCACTTTTGCCGGTCAGTATATGTAGATGGAACATTTAACTGCTATACAAAATATTTTCTGCAGTTCTTTAAAATTCACGGATTAAAAGAAGACTATTACATACCACTGATTTTTTTCTTGCTTCCTAATAAGCAACATTAGCGTTAAATTATTTGATAAAATTTGGACCAGGTCCATAGGTATGATAAGATGCAAGTTCTATTTAGGACAATCATGATAAGTTTTCATGTTTTTTACATACAAGGTGTCAATTTTAAAACTTGCAATCGGCAATATCTCTAGAGCTAAAAAAGTTATTGGGAATCCCTCAAAACCGTTTCGGTGGTTTTTAGGGGGAATCAAAATGGCATGGTAAGTGACGCTCCTCCACCCACCCTTCAAGCCACAGCCACCTTAAGTTGAAAATTTTAAATGGCACGACCCTACTTGCGATAAATCGTTGGAAAGCCCATAACAAGCGCTTTTCAAAAATGTCATATAACAGCCTATTTGGTAAAGCCATTTTTACAATTATTCAAAAACGAAGACGTAAAATTTAATTTTTTTTACTATATTCAAAGGTAGGTGGAGGTGTGTCACTTATCTTGTCATTTTAATTCCCCCTTGGAACCACCAAAACGGTTTTGAGTGATTATTAATAACTTTTTCAGTTGAGAGAAATTGCCGATTGCAAGTTTTAAAATTGACACAGTGTATAATAGTACCTATRCATTGACAAAATTTTAATGCAGGTGGCGAAAAATATAACAACTTGGGTTCACATCCTATTATGGCCAAAACTCAGATATTGGAAAATTTGTACGCTACTACTTTGGTTTACCATTTTTAAACTCTGAAGATGTTGAAGAATGCTTTGCTTTCGATTTTGCAGAGATTCAACCTCAAAATTCTAAAGTAACTGAATTCGCAGATTATTTAGTAGATATTTATCTAACTGAATCATCTAGACTTCCATCAAACATTTTGGCTGAATTGTCAAGCAGCCTGAAAAGAACCACAAACGCCTGTGAAGGCTTTCATTCGCCTTTTTACTATTAGTTCTTTTTATCACTCGCATCCACATATTTTTCAGTTCATAACTGTGTTTCAAAGCAAAACGTATGTAAAAATTAGAAGTGTCAAGTTCAACAAAAAAAAATCTACAGTTCTACAACGTTAAACAACAAAAAATGTTTAGATTATCAAATTGGTCTGTTAAAAGACGGAATCTTAGCAAACTTTGAATTTGTTAAAGTGGGAAATTATTTTAAGATGTAAGAAATTTATTTATTTGCATAATTATGTACTTACATAATATTGTGTTTACTTATTGTATCTACTTATTCAGATGTAATTATAGTTACCAATAAAATAATTTATATACCTACACAAATTTTCTCTTTTTTAATATTTGAATTCGTGAACATTTTTTTTTTATTTTTTTAAATTATAAAAAAAATATAATTTAAACAAACTAAAAACTACAAATTACTAATCAAACTACCTGGCACTGGGACTCTATCTATTCGATCATCTCCCCGGATTCTATTCGGCCATCTATATATTTTATAATAGGGATTATAAAAAGTGGGACTCTACACCGCATTTCCCTTGTAACTCTGTTTAGTGTTGTTTGTGGCTTTTATTGGGAAAATTTTTGTACCATTACTAAATAATTATAAAAAACATACATATTCAAGATCATCAGAATCATTAAGTAGACATAAAAAGATGTCAAATGTCAAAAAATTAATGTCAAAATTTTTAGGCAGATAGAATTTAAAAAAAAATCCGTGTTTATGGTATTTTATCTTTTTTTTTTCTGGGGCGCTGACACCCTTGTATAGAATAAGTTTTTATTAGTTATGATATTGCATCGTTTTGTCTAATTCACCCTGTACAATCTACAAAGTGACGAAATTTACTGTAAAATAAGGTGTGACAAAAATATTATTAAAAAAATATTAAACAAAAATATTGTTGTTATTATCTGTGACATTTTATTATTAATTATTATTATACTATTCTTAAAAAGTCGTTACATATAAACATACACCTTATTAACTGTTATTTATGACACTAATAAAATATAATTCAATCTTTATTGTAGTACAGAAAAGAATAGAAAAAATGTAACATTCGTAAAATAAATATTGAAGAGATTCATAAAGAAATAGGTATGCTGCTATGCTTACTTTACGTTTACAAATAAATAATCTATACAAGTAATAAAATAACTTTTTTACTTTAAACTTTACAAACTACTTCTCTAAAATGAATACCTATAGGGTTTCACAGCATACCTATATTTTCTTGATTACTAATGATCAAAGTATACTTTTACTTAACTAAAAATAAAACGTAAGCTTTAAAAAAAAAGTTTTCATCTAGAATCTTTGGTCTTCTCATGGACTTGATTATTATTGATTTTTATTTTTTATTATGTTGATTAAAAGTAAAATTTTATACTCCTATTTTTTATTTTTATGAAAATAACTTTCGGCATGATTTAGCTCTGGAGTGCAAAAGTACGGAATCCTAAAAACAAGGTAGGTATCATTAAAAAAAATTAACAATTCTTCCAATTTTGAAAATGTTCTCAGAACCGAAGTGTATCAGGTTTTTGAAAAGAGATCAGTGGAAGTAGAATTTGTTTATCAAGAATATTTTTTTGTATTTAACTACCAAGGATAACTTTGAAAACCCATCTTGGCTTCTGATCAATTTTTTTAAAGTAACTCTGTAATATCTGAATAACTGGTTATCAAAACACTCTTTATTCAACCTTTGAACCTATCATAATGCGTAATGCGACGAAATTAGATTTGCGAAGAAAGTGTCTCCCACCGGTCCCCAACCTCCAAAGCAGGTATAAACCCGACAAAATGTCCGTGCTAAACATCTTCTTTCCGAGGGTAAATGCACAAGAAAAGTCGGTTTCTTATCCCGGACCCGTTATGTTGGCAAAACTATTTATTTTATTAGGGGTACTCTAAAATTTCGGCAAAACTTCAGAGGGATTTGGGAAACCCTCCCAGACAAGCCTGCATAATCTTGTCTTCTGATGAATATTTTAACCGGTCACTTGCCCTTTGAAAAGGTTGTACCAATCCAGGCTTTTTAATGTCCTTTTCGTCTCGACCACTGACAAAGTAAGAAAATTTACAACATATTAACCCACGAAATAAAATAAAACCAATGATGAATATGCTTGGAAAAATATAGCAAAAGGCTTGTAAAATAATCATGGAAGTTTTATGAAGAAGTTTACGAGCTTTCGGTGAACATAAAACTTTAATAAGAACTTAAATCAAATGAAAGACTGAAAAACTAGCATGTTTCATGCAATAAAAGCGCTCAGGTAAAAACCTTTTGCCGCTCACTTTCGATACAAAACAGGACTATTCCATCCGACTTTCAAATTAATTTAATGCCTAGATTCCTCCGTTAGATCAAAAGTTCTCATTGGTCGAGCGGCCATAAAAAGAAAACGTAAAATATGGCGGCCACAGATGCACCTGTCAGATTAATGAATATCAAATTGGACACGGACGCCATCAACGTGGTAATTTATTCGTAAATAAGACAGAGAATTTTGTAATTATAGTCAACAAAAATCACACGAACGTTGAGAAACATCACTCCTTTCCAATTAATAGAGGACATTCGAAAAGAAACATGCATAATTGGGAAATTAGTCATGTGTTAATCACAAAGAATTACGACACTTGGCGTTGTAAAACCATCACAGCAAACATGCAACAGATAGAATAGAAGATTACAACGACAAAGAGTAGAAAGAAAAATTTACATTTTTGAATAACAATAGAAAAAAAAAGAGAAAAAAGCGTACCGATTGCGTCCTGAGCGTCAGCGAAATCGGCCGGTTCTAAAACAAACAGAAAGCCATTTTTCAACATACAAAATTTTCAAAATGAAGGTTATGGTCGCAAATTATGATTTACAAGCAATAAAGTAATTAAAGCCATATAATTACTGGAAGTTCATAAACTAATAAATTAAAAGAAGAACAAACACCAAAAGGAAGCAAAGTGTAACGGTATTCATACAATATGACAATATTTTAGGTTAGAAAAACCTGAGAACTCGTGCAATTTGTCAAAAACAAAAATTAACAAGTGATATTTTTCAATTAAAATTTTACTTTGATGACGTGTAATGTAAACAAAACATTTCAAATTGATGATAACAGAAGGCAGAAGGCATCGTGTTAAGTGGCCGGAAATTTAAACAGCCGCTTGATTTGTTTGTCGAAAAAATTTTCACTTTTTAAGAGATTCTCCCTTTGAGCTCTGAACGAAACAACTGTGTCGAGGAGTATAGGTAATGTAGATAAGCACCATATTAAAATTTTTAACCATTAGATATTATTTATTTTATTTAAAAAATGAGGAATGAGTTGTTTTTTTTTAGTTAGAATAATAACATTAACGTTAAGATAGATTAAATAAAAGAACTTTCTAAAATACTGTTATGTGAATAACGGCTTAAATTAGAAAAAAACGCAACTTTTAATTTTAATATTGTCGTAACGTAGACGCATTTTTGTAATTTAGAAAATTTAAAAACATCATCATGACTTAACAACAAATAAAAAAATTATAGTAGGTAAATTACAAATTAATTTAGAAGCCATATTTATAGTTTTATCACTTTTGTTTCTTACAATTTTTGATTAATTTTGTTCTAATTCATTCTTATTTTCTATGCCTATATGACTTCAAAGTTAGGCTTTATATCCTTCTTTTTTTGGCGGTAAACGGATTTTAGAATTAACAATTAATGTGATGTGATATAATCACAGAAGTACGTAAAATGTAAATAATAAAAAATCATAACAAAATAAGTCTCAGGTCTCAGTGTAAACTAACATGCATATTATTTTTGAAAAAACACTATCTTCTCACAACCTTCTTTGAAAATAAATATATCTACAGGCTGATTCTTAAATAAATTGACAAAATTTTATCGTGGCATTCCCAAGGCAAAATGGAGACGATCTGCACCCTTTTTACTTTTATATCTTTTGGGGGTAGAACGCCCTTGATCCGTGCCACTTACGGCGTTTATAAATTGTTGTACATTTTCATCAAATAATACCATGAGTTCCACTACCTGTGTGCTAATACTATTTACATATCAGTGGCGTACGCTTTACTTCGAACGTAGTTTTTACTGTTTTTTCCAGCATGTACTCATTTGATACTACCAAGGATAAAATTTTATCGGTCTATTTAAGAATCATTTAGTATATTAAAGAGTCTTGATCAAAAGCCTGGAACACACTGTTTAAATTCCCACATTCAAAAACACATGCAGCCTAACAAAGCTAAAGTCTTTTCACTTTATAAACAGTCAAAAGCAAATGTACCAAAAATTATAATAGGTATGTAAGTATAACAATTAAAACTATATGTATCTATTTTTAATTTTAATCTTCAACTGTTAATGCACTTCACACAAATTAAAATAGTACAGAAAATATTTTAAATGATCAAAATTTTACTTGTGATGATAATGTTTACAGCTTACACAATGAATTCGTAAAAGAATAAGATTGGACCAACAGCTAATTTCTAACTTCTTATATTTTGTTTTGTAACTTAATAACAACTGTTAAAAGGGTTACAATAAGATATAAATGATGTTCTTTAAAACAAATACTAAAATTTAATTTTTTAATGAGATTTGTCATCAATTGTCTTCAATAATTATAAAATTGAATTTAATTTTGGTGTTGTAAGTTCGTACTTTCGTACTTCTTTCACATTTTTTATGCATCTTTTCGATATGTTTTTAATTTTTTTAATAAATTGCTCCGTTTTGACTCTTCTAAAATACAGGCTGATTTTAATAGTTGTGTAGATCTTATAAGAGGTGATAATACAGATACAAAGAAACCATCAAAATAAATGTTTATATATATATAAACAATTTCTTATACGGTGATAAAAAAAACGTTAATGGAAGCCTTGATTTCTATGCTGCAAATATGAAAATATGAAAATTTAATAGACAGAGAACTGCAGTACATTGTGAACCACATTGTTTCGGCACCCAATAAGTTTTAGGAAAATTGGTACATGTTTGTTTGCACATTTGAGAGTAATTTGATGATTTTAAAAACCAACCGAGTGGTTGTAGGTACGGTCTTTTTGTAACGAGTGTATAGTTAAATTTGGCGTCATAGTTGGCGGTGACTGTGAATGTGTTGTGAACGGACCGCCCATTTGAATACGCCTAGCGAGGTGTTAAATGTCAGATTAATAACTTTCAATAGGATAGTTTGTTCACAATCAAACTTTCATGGATATCTTTAATGCCAAATTTAAAAACGCATCCGTTAGTACCTACTCTGTGTTATACAACCGTCCGTCAGTTATAATAACACTAATTAGTTTGTTACATGTTTTAATTTTAAAATCTTATTTAATTTTAGTCTATTTTGTTGCTATGTAGAAAAGATTATTGATCGTCGAATTAAAATGAATCGGCATTATTTTCCTTGTAATTTAATCTTGAATATCTACTAAAAATAAAAGCAAAGTATTTATTTCTGAAGAAATGTGAAGGTAATGTTTATTAAAATATTAAACTCATAGTTTTTTAAATAAAACTCTTACAGTAATAACAACTAACTAATAAATGTCTCAAAAATACCAAAAAAAATATCTTTTCCACTTGTTTTTAGGATACCAAAAAGGCCCACTCTATCACTAAAAGACTTACCAGGATTGGGCTGACTCTGGTAGGACGTTTTCTTAATCCACTCATAAGGGCTTCTCGCCGGCGGCGGCCTCGCCACTTGCGTCTGATTATGCGGTGATAGGTTTCCACTTCCGGCGCCCGGACTCGACATTTCACTCCCGGAAACAGTCGGCGACGGCATAAGTTGTGTCCCGTCGTTATGCACCATCCCGGAATGCACAAAATCCGGAAACTCATTATTCGCCGCAAACACGGAATGGGGCGGCATGTGCCCATGATGGTGCCACATTTGGGGCTCCCACATCTGCTGTTCGGGACCCATCTGGGGGCCTTGGTGGTATCCCGCGTACCATGAGTGCATGGACGCGTTGGCCGGCGCGGCCACGGCTTGCTGGTGGCGGTACATGTTGGTCGTGTTGCAATACGAGACCATCACACACTTATTGTCTTGTCAGTTTTGCACTTTGGGGCACACGCACTTGTCACTTGACGAAAATACGAACTCGGAATGGGCACCAAACGACATCACAGTGAGTGCGATTGTGGTGATAAGATTTCAAACGTTTGGGTTGAGAGGAGGAGGCGGAGCCGAACCGGAAATGGGCCAATGGAATAACAGATTTTCTGTAATGGCTGCGCTAAAAGTGACAAGCCAATGATGATGCGGCTGTTGGGAGGTTAGGCAATGTTTAATTAAATGTCTCATGCGTGTTGTGGACCAAATTGTGTTTTTATAATGAATGATTTCGCGCTGATAACAGGAAGATTAGCTAAATGTAGAAGTAGAATATTGTTTTCCTATAAATCAATTTATAAAGGTTTATTTTGTAAATTATTTTGTAAATTATAAATTAATTGATTAGAAATATTAATCAACCGAAAGAGAAAATACAGGATGTTTTAGAACTCGCGCCCCAGAGAAAAATTCCAAGTATAATAAGATACCAGAAAGATAGAAAAATTGTTTAAAAAATTCTATCTACCTATCTATAAAAACTCATGGGGTTTAATTTTAGCACTGTGATCCTATTTATTTCTGTTAGAAAAATAATTTTACATGTTTTTTGCTACAGGCTATTAGAAGAGAAAACAAAGAAGCAAAGAAACTGTATCCTAATGTGTAACTATATGTTTAACGTTATTTGTGGTTTTTATTGACAAAGTTTTTCTACCTTTAGTGAATAAATATTAAGTATATTATATAATTATGAATTTGGTAACATTAAATAGATATAAAAAAGGTCAAATGTCAAAAAAATGGGTGTGTCAAAAATTCTTGACAGAGTTTTTTAAACTTGATTTCGGTATTTTATCCTGTATAGGTAGTTGTTATCGGAAATAAAAACAATAAATAAAAATAAAATACAAAAAAAGTTCGAAGCATTTGTTATTAAATGTGTTTTCAATTAAATTTTTGATCTAAGTAGTCTGTGATTTTGCAATTAAGTTGGCAAATTTGACTATCAAAAAAAGTCACAATTTTTTTTACTTCTGAGAATATTTACTAGTAGTTACATATATATTTACTAATATCAAATACCTATACTATTAATAATAATGTAATAACACATATGAGAATATTAAATAATGTAAATAAAGTCTTAAAAGTAGTAAGTAAACGCAAAAAAACTTCATGTACGACACACAAATTTTAAGATTTTTTGAAAAAGTCGGCCACAGCACATTAATAATTTATTGGTTTGTATGAAAACAAACGTTTCAAATTAATGATAGCAAGCACAAAATGATTCAGAATGTACTGCAGTGTTGCCCTTTAAACATTCATATTTTTAAAACCAGACAACGTAGAAAAACTATAGCCAAATTAAAATTTGTGCATTTTATTAACATTTTCTATCAGCCGACTTTTTTGAATCAACGTGTATACTGGAAGAACGGAATTTTGACACCAGTTTAAAAAAAAGTTCTTTCATTTATAAACTATGCGGTTTCTTTTTTTTTATTAATTAAAATATAAAATATATACCATCAATAATGCATTTTATAGCTAAGTAAGTACCTATAGCTCAAAAATATAACCATTTTTGAAATTCTAGAAGTGTGTGAAATATTTTGTTTGGTAATGTCGCTTCATAATATCTAGTTCAACAAATTTTTAAAAAAAGCATTTTTTTTACTTATACCTACACTAATGACGTTATCGTACCTACCTAAACTGTTTCTTTCCAAAATAAATTCATGCATTTTTTTTAATGAATAGTGAATATAAATAAAAAACGCACATCATGTATATGTTATTTAGTAAGTATTTTAGTAAGTAAAGTAGGTAAGTATTTTATTTCTTTACTTTTTTATGAATATGATGCGTGGTTAGCGCACTTTTGATAGAAAGATACAACTCGTGTATCGAGTAACTACAACTATTTGATTTTATATTAGAATGTACATATTTCGGTCGTAAGACTATCACCGTTCTCTTGGTCCCTGGTCTCATCCGGGGTTTGGTAGTGGAGGATAATGGGGTGTTGCTGTGGTACAGTAGGTACGGTACAGGGTGCTGCATTTTGGATGTCCGAATAGGGAATCTCCGAAACTAAGAGGTTTGGCCAAAAACGAGTAATACATTCTGGGGCTCATTTTTTGAGAAAATAATATTGGTTAAAACCGCATCCCGACTTATAGACAAAAATTGCCATTTTTTCGAAATCTAAAAAAATGCATATCTTCGTTATTGTAGAAGACACAGATTTGAAATAAAGACATAATATAGGCACTTTTTTACGTAAAATTTAATAATGTAGTTAACAATTTTTTCAGTTGTTTGTTTAGCCGTAATAAAATAAACTTGTATTTTTTTTAATGGGAATCATAGATGGCTATGTCATTTTTAAAAAGCTTGTTTTTTTCTAATCTAAAAAATATATACATGTTTGTAACATTATTATCATAATACATTTTTAGCAAAAGTTATCTTTGATTTTTGTTCGCAGTTGGCCATGAAAAAATGTTGTATCTTCAACTAAAAGGATTTAAACTATATTATTCAACCAGTGTCACTAATAAAAGAGTTTTCTAAGTACGAAGTAATGAAAAAAAATGCAAAATAAATCGTAAATCAACTTATTGGCGACTAATAACATTTCTTTGTTTTTAAACAAGCTAACATTACCATTGAAACTTTTAGTGATACATAGAGTGTTGTAAAAAAAGCCGCTTTAATTGTTCAATAAAATATGTATATTTTATATGACACAAAAATGACGATATGGGCTTTCAAATATCCAAATTCCGTCCATTAGATCACCAAAAAATGTTTTTTCTAATTGTGTTGACTGTTGACACATTTGTTTTTCCTATTTTTGGATTTTTTAAAAATATGTAATAATTTTGTTCTGAGGCGCTCACATATTTGTTCAATATTCAATCGTATTTTTTAAATTTTTATAATTTTGTCTATTTTTTCATCTATTTTACAGTTCACAAAACTCTTATTGATTATTATTTACACATTTGGAGTGAAACAGTTTTTCCATGGCCAACTATTATCAAACAAAACATGTATTTCATTTTTTAAGTATAATTATAAAAAAATATTCTATTACAAATATATATTTTTTAGATCAGAAAAAAATAAGCTTTTCAAAACTGCCATATCCGCCTATGACTTCCATTTAAAAAAATACAAGTTTATTTTATTACGGCTAAACAAACAATTGAAAAAAATTGTTAACTACCGTAATAAATTCTACGTAAAATCCTTTTAGTTGAAGATGCAACATTTTTTCATGGCCAACTGCGAACAAAAATCAAAGATAACTTTTGCTAAAATTGTATTATAATAATAATGTTACAAATATGTATATATTTTTTAGATTAGAAAAAAACAAGCTTTATAAAAATGACATAGCCATCTATGATTCCCATTAAAAAAAAATACAAGTTTATTTTATTACGGCTAAACAAACAACTGAAAAAATTGTTAACTGCATTATTAAATTTTACGTAAAAAAGTGCCTATATTATGTCTTTATTTCAAATCTGTGTCTTCTATAATAACGAAGATATGAATTTTTTTAGATTTCGCCAAAATGTCAACTTTTGTCTGTAAGTCGAAAACAAAAGACGATAGCTTGATGCGGTTTTAACCAATATTATTCTCTCAAAAAATGAGCCCCAGAATGTATCACTCGTTTTTGGCTAAACATCTTAGTTTCGGAGATTCCCTATTCGGACATCCAAAATGCAGCACCCTGTACACTATAAATATGAAGATTTATAATTAGATAATTATTTTATAAAATAGTAAAGTGCATCACACGTGACATTGAAAAAATTGAATAGTATATGATGAACAAAAACACGATTAGCCCGTCACACCAAACTTTTATTTAAAACACAACGCGTTTCAACCACAAAGTGGTCATCCTCAGATGAGAATAAAACTGTTTCATCCTCAGGTGAGAATAAAATTGTTTTATTCTCACCTGAGGATGATCACTTTGTGGTTGAAACGCGTATTTGGTTTGACGGGCTAATCGTGTTTTTGTTCATCGTTTTCCATACTAAGAATATCCAAGAAGAAGAAGTTGAATTGTATGGTAAAAAATTGTTTCTAATGGTTATTTTAATAAAAATATTACCTTTTGTTTTTAAAAAATGTTGTATTTTAGTGAAATGCAAAGAAAAATTTTTACACTTATTTTATTTACCATATTGGAAAAGTACTCATGTTTATAACAGCACGAAGCAATAATATTGACTAATAATTTATAAGGGCAAGATTTATTGTACCATAAACGTTTTGTTTGTATGTAACGTCGAGTTTGTTAAGTGTAAACATCGAAAAAAACTCGCCGAAATTCTTTTCCAAACATTTGCCACTTTATCTACACCAGTACTGTACCAAATTTATGGAAAATACAAATTTGAACATGCTTGAGGCGATTTGCACCCGAAACAGGATTAAAATTATGCACACAAGGAGACCATCCGGATTTAATAATGAAGCAAAGTGCGGTATTTATTGAAGAGACTGCCGGCTTTACCTTTAACCCATTCGAAATTTGCTAATCCTATAACTAAATTACTCTCTTCTTGGAAGTATTGCTGATAAGAAACCCAAGTGCTTGGTCTATTCTGGGTTTAATAAGATTTAAATATTTTCAAACGAATTTTATGACTCAGGGTCCTGAAGGATCGGTTCAGGTAGATACGCTTGGCCGGACAAGTTGGACTTTTCAAACGGTTAAATCACACTTTTAGACGTGTCTAAAGCTTATTAATTTTTCCTTTTGAAACCCAAAAATTTATAATATTTAAGTATAGGGAAGATAATGCTGTCAAGATCAAGACTGATGTTATCTAAAGTAATCTGTAATTTTTCCCATCAAGGGCAACTAAAACTGCATCGTCGAGTGAGAAAATATCTTAAATACCATCAAACGTTTTATATCAATTCACCGGACAATGAAAAAAAAAAGAAAATAGCAAAATTGCAGTAGCTCATTGAATCTGAATTCCTTAGCCAACTTGATGCACACACATTTCTATAAACACTGTGTTTTAATGTTATTATACTTTTGTATTATTCTGACAGGATTTATATTTAGAACTAAAAAAAAATGGGTTCATGGTAGTGACATGTGATTTTTGAAGCCAACGTGATGTGAAAGTAGATTAATTTTTTATACAGGGTTATTCAAAAGTGTCGGACTAACTCTCAAATGGCGATCAACGACTTTCAGCTATAGCATAAAAATGAATTGAGATTTTTATTTCAAGTCTTTTTTTGAGAAAAAACAGAATTGTCAGTTTCTGTATTATCATGTAAGATCTTAGTTCTT